AAGAGGACATTGCTCGAAAGAGTCGCGAGCAAGGCGAGAGGAAAAAAGGCGGAGGAAAGATTATATTCGTATTTGCTGCTGGACCGTTCGGCGAGTCCTCAGAAAGGAATGGGCCTGTTTGATGGGGAAGGTAAGGCCCGAAGCGAAGAGAGAGAAGCGGTGCAGAGTCCAGGAGAGAGCGGAGTAGCCTTGCCTTGGCCCTTGGTCGCGAAGGCGGTGGAGGCCGATGCTAGCGGGGCATAGGTACCTCGGTAGGCAGACTAGAGTGTAGCGGGTACCGAACGCGTGTTAGGCGTAGTCGATTGTTGGCATGAGGCGACTACGGACCTGGACCTGGTACTGGGACCGTCCGGGGCTCTCTTTCTGGACAACTGAGGTGTGGGCAGGATGGACGGACGGACGAACGAACAAGGGGTCGTGCACGAAGCGGAGGTGGTGGGTGTTTGGTGGTGAACCATGGCTGGGGGAAAGAGAAAAAGAGGTTGCTAGCCGGAACGAAAGCGAGGATCGGAGAGCTGATTTGTGTATTCGTCGAATGGTCAAATGTGTCAGTATCCACAAAAGTGTCGTTTGTGTGTGTGTGGAGGCGATTAAGGTACTGTATATGCGCAGGAAGGTCGATATCCAGCTGTGCTGTGGAGGATGGCATCGACGACGCGAGAGGTAGGATTGGAGGTGGTGGTATCCGTAGTCGTGATGGTGGTGCGGTTTGTCTTTAGCAAGGCCGCATGATGCAGGTCAGGAGGGAGTTGTGCTGGGGCGGGATCTGGCAGCCGTGCGGCCGGGATGGATGGCCGATGGCTGTCTACTGAAGAGATGTGGCTGCGGACGGTTCAATGCCGCTGTTCTGTGGAATCCCCGTCGTGTCCAGTCTTTGGTGGTGAATCGTGGGATGATATTGGGGGCAGGAGGGGGCTAAGAAGTTGCGGCGGGTCTCCTGAGGCTTGTTGATGCCGCAGGTGACCTGATTTGGTGGTAGGCCGCAGGGCTGCTTTCGGAGGTGCACGGCAAACAAGGGTCGCAATTTGCAACTTGCCAAAGGCTTGCCGGATGGAGCTCAGTGGCGGAGGTAATCAATGTGAGAATGGGGAGAGAGTCAAGAGATACGATATGCGATGCGATGCGATGCGATCGGTAATGATGGTGGGTAGTTCAAACTTGATAGGTACTGCGAAGGTGCTAGCAAACGAAACGAAGCGCCGAGTCCGATGTCACTTCCACATCCGCTATTCGTTTCTACTTTGAGTTACGTCCGAGAAGATGATGGCTTTAATATCCGTCCTTAGGTCGGTCAAAGAGGCAGTGACGGAAGCATAAAAGTGAGCGTGAATTGAGCTCCCTGATAGGTTATGAGATGGAAACGTGTTCGCGGTCGTGTGTGGTTTCATTATGTTTATTTGTAAAACGCGACTAGCATGAAGCAATAAACACCACTCGATCTCCCTGCATGAAGCTTCATCAACAGCCGTCTACCTACCTACACCTCTTCAAGCTTTGGGAGGTGTAGCTGTAAGGTAGCTTGGAACTTACACAGTAGGATAAAGTAGCTCAGGGGGGCGATCAATGCGAATGTCACCGCTTTCTGGCGTCGAACTATTACTCCGTACACTACTAGCTGGCGACGGGAAGCAATCCTACATTACATAAGTAGCTTGCACGCGTGACCTGTCGGCCTGATCCTCCTGCTATGGAAGATGAAAGTATAAATGGATTTTTTGGAGTGAAGACGAAGTTGCCCTGCTAATCTCGGACCTCCAGGTGCGCCGTGGGATGACCTAGCGGGAACCGGTGATTGGGTAAAGCCCGGGAAGAAAAGGGGAAGCAGCGACGGTGATGGGAGCTTCCCGATGAAAAACGACCGGCGGCATTCGTGGCTTGAAGTGGACTCTGTTAACATCCACCCTTCACCACCTCATGCTAGGCACTGTCGGTCTACCTTACGTATACCAACATCCTGTACATTCACAGCCCACAGCTCATTGCACATTGTCATTCATAACAGCGGGGGAGCACGTCTTTCATTCCAGAGCAGTTGAGGACCCCGAGCTGTCCGGATGTGCCAGTCACCGGACACCCAGATTCCATACCAGAATCAAGAAAGACAGGTGAGAATCCCCCGACTTATATTGGGCTACCTCAAGGTACGGGTGGATACCGAATACCGACGACTATGTATGGGTTTCAGTGGTCGTGTCTTGGCCCCATCCAAGGTTCAACTTTGACCTCTGAGCTTCAGTTGGAGCTTGGCGTCCTTCCGGCGAGCTTCGGACTCCTTGAGCCCTTGGTGTTGAGTACCGTCTATCCATTCGGAGTACTGGCGTGGAACGACTTGATATGGTTCTTGGCGAATGGAAAGGCTCTCTGCGACTGCAGCGTTGGACCTGGGCTTTCCCATTCTTTTCCGCCTCACATTACATGCAGAGCAAGCAGATATGCCGTGCAAAAGCTCTGCAAGTCATTCCAACATCCACATCTCGGCCCCTCTACGGATACAGTACCACGATCACGTCGGAACCCACGATTCAATGACTTGCATCACTTTACTGCCCAGAGACGCCGGGGGCCAGGAGCGTGCGCAGAAGACCGCCCCAACGCAAAGGGAAAAGCAAAAGCAACGACGAAGGATCTCCGGCAAGCGGCAAGCGATCCATTTATTTGGTAAAGATCAGGCGCTACAACGTATTACAACCAGCAAAAGTCACGGAGCTTCCCCAAGGTGCAAGATCATGAAAAGCTACTGCCTGCACAAGCCGTTGTTCATGCAGCAGCGGAAGCTACAAGCACACAGCCGCCGATGCCATTGACCAACTTGTAACAAGCGGTGGTCGTTGAATCCTCCGTCAACTTAGACGCGCGCTTTGGAGGGCGCTGAAAATGCATCTCGTTTGGGCAAATTGGCGATGCACTGCAACTGGGGGCCCGTCATGCAGCCCGCTAATCAATGTACCAGAGGGCGATGTGACGGCCCTGTGGGAAATGCTAGGTCAAGGCCCAACGCGGCGGCAGCAGCCGTTCCGTTGTTCTGGGACTGTCGTCGTCATCTCCTTTGATTCGCGGCAGCATCCAATGCCTTCTAGACGGATAGGGGCACTCGTCGTTTGGTGACTTCGGTCTCGTCCGACCCCCGGCCTTGCCTGGTCTTGCATGATGCTGCTTGTCTGCAGGAGTCAGAACAGCAGCAAGACGCCAGGTTGAAGGGGTTTCCGTGGCCGTGCTGGATACCCCTGGTCATGGAAGAAGATGCAGAAGCTCTTCACTCTACGAATATGCCCAGAATAGAAGCAGAGCCAGAAGCACCAACTCTTCTCTTGGACTTCTCGGCCCCTGAGTCGTCGTCTGCTAAGCAAGGTTCTCATCACCTCCCGTGAAACCGCGGCAGGGCGGGAACGGGGAGAGTGAAAGACAGGCCATCTCTGGCGACCCGAGACTACGCTACCGCCCGAGATCAACAGCCCCGCCATGTCGGCTCCAGGTTCCCTTACTGGCGATGTCTACCGCAGTATACGAATACTTCAAAGCCCGCACCCATGCGAAGCCGCGCACTTCCTAGTTCACGATATAAGGCCGAACGGCGATGCATGGCGTACTACGTGTCACTGCGAGATGAGGGAGGTAGTGATGGTGCCTGCGTAGGTTCAGGGCAGAAGCAGCTAGAGTCCCGTTGTTAGCAGATTTGCGGCGATACGGTGAACCCACAGGCTAAGTAGGCCCTTAGCTTTGCATATCCACGTTCCTATTTTCACCTGGTCTCGCCTTATGAAGAAATGGGGGGCGGTCTACAGCTGCAGAATCTGAAGAGACTTTCCAGCGACATCGCAGCATTGAGATGGGACTTTATGGGGTGCCTACGGCCCTACACAACCACCATCAGGGAGTTAGGGTGAAGGACAGCAGTTCGCAGTGAACACCTCCAGAATACAGATTCGCCCAGCGTCTGTCGTCTCGCAGAAGACTGGAATGAGGCGGACGGATGTAACCACCCCCACCGTTCCGGACTCATTGATCATGATTGGGTTGCTGGACATGATCTGCTATCAGAGTCCAAGCCAATGACAGAGGCGCATCAGCTGAGTTTGGGATCCAATGGGCCACTCGAGACCATTGAACATGCTGAATGACCTTGGTTCCCCTGGGATACCGCCTGTCAACGGTGGAGGGGATGGGCGTGTGACTAGAAACAATATGTCAAGCTGCCCAACCTGACAGACCGTCAGTCTCTCCGAGAGATGCACTCCAGTCCAGTCTCCAGTCCCCAAGTCCCCACGCGCAAAAGAATCTGAGGAGGGGCCCAAATCCGAAAGGGACGAAAGGGCAGGGTGGTGGGAGAAGGAAGAAGGGGAAAAAAGTAAAGAATAAGTTCACTGCGAAAAGTTTCGGCCGATTCCACTTTGTTTGCGTTAGGTAGAATTTGCAGTGCAGCCAGCTCTCTCTCAACCACCTACGCTTATCTCTATCTTACCTGATAATTTTTTCCTTCTCCCAACTTCATCCGTAGACCCAAAGAATCCAGCTGTTCGGCGCGCGCAAAGCTTTCTTTCGGTTCGGACGATAGAGAGATCAAAGTAATCTCAGCATTTAATCCAATAATTCACAGCACGGCCGCCATCTGCCATTTGAGTAACTTTTGGACCAAAAGTCTCTGCGCCATTGCCCCTCGATTCGGCACGCCACCATCCATCAGCTCGCCCATCCTCTCTGCCCGCCAAAACAAAAAAACAAAATCCCACAACCACCACAACACAACACTCCCGCGCGAACCAACTCTGGGCCCCCAGTTCAGCTCAAACCTTCTCAAATTGAACTCACTCAGCGGAGGTTCAGGAATTTTGCAGTCACTAGTCGCTTCTTGCGCTCTTGCCGCTCCATTGCTACGGACCGTTTCTGGATCAGTTGCTTCCTTCTCGGGAACAGACAAAATTGTGTTGCGTTCCTGCTGCCCGTCCCTTGTCACACTTTTTCCCTCCTCGCTGTCACTCAGACTCACACGCTCTCCATCTCTCTCAGTCCGAGTCTGCCATCGGTCTCTCTTTATTACTTTTCCAACACAAACCTGAAGCGCGAAACACCACACTTCGCCCCTCCATTCCCCCTGCCACCCCTGCCGGCCAAACGCCCCCTTGGACCCCTCCAAATAAGGGATTCCAACATTGGAGATCGACGGCACAGCTGCGTATTTGAGACGCGAAACCAACACGGAGAGGAGCCCCTGACATCTCAAAGCTGAACTCTGAAGTTTGAACCTTTTGCTCTCCTTCTCAGTGCTCACTCACTTCCCCGACCAAGCCGAGAGACTGAGAGACCCCACCATCTCGCCATTTTGTCTCTCTATTCTCGTTCTCATTCCCCAGCTCACTCACTCCACAAACACACACTCACGACCCCTCGTGGCGCCTCCAAGCACCTCATCTCACTCTCACTCTCACTCTCACTCATACCAACACCCACCTCTCGGGCTGTATCTATCAAACCCGCTACACTAGTTTCTCGCACAGCCGCGACGGACTGCCAAAGTCTCACCACTCCGCTTTTCAAAGCTCTCAGACTCTTGGACTCTCTTCCCCAAATCCTCCCGAAAAAAGAGTTCCATCTTGGTCTCCTTCTGCCCTGTCCCCTCTCTCCTGGTTACAAGGCACGTCCCGGCTTGCATTGCAGTCCACTTCTCGACGATCCCCCGAGCCCATCAGCCCGGCCAGTAAGGCGACGTCCTTGCTTCTGCATCCTGCCAATCCACAAACCGACATACCTACACCACCGTCCAGAACCGCCAACCAAAGAGAAACTGACGCTCGCACTCGTCGCCTCCCATATCGTCGACCCCCCATTTCACCTCCGTCAAAAACCGCGACCCAGTCAGAACCGTTCTCTGCCCAACCCTCGCGCCCAATAGCCACTCCCATCGCAAGACCAACACATCATCATACAGCGTTGCTCCCTTCACCATGGTGTCCTTTTCGTGTGAGGTAAGCCGTCGCCGCCCTCTTTCTCCCGTTCCGTATCTCTCTCTTCCTTCTATTTCCCTTCCCCATGATCCCGTCTTCCAGGGTCCCCTTTACTCTCATTCCGTACATACCTGCCCTCCCACCCCCCCTTCCGAAGATCCCCATGTCGTCTTATTATAAACTCGGGGGCCTGACATCACATCCTCACACCACACCTACCACACCTACCACACATGGCAAGACATCGCAGACACACACCCCTCCAACTACAGAAACAAACCCCCCTCTACTTCCCCTTTGGATGCTGTCTTTAATAGCCAGTGTCTCGTCCCGTCCCTCCCTCGCCTCCCAGACCAAATCCATACAACACCTACCATACACCCCTCTCTAAACACAACAAAATCCAATAACCTCTCGAATACTTGCTGCGCAACATAACTGACCTGTCTCCTTCTTCCTTCACCGCAGAACTGTGGTGATGTTATGACCAAGAAGAAACTCGATCCCCACAGAAATCGTTGTCGAGGCGCCACTTATACCTGCATCGATTGCATGGTCTACTTTCCTGGAACTGAATATCGCAGCCACACGGTTAGTAGCATCAGCTCCCACTGGCTATTGTAGTCACTTGTATGAACCATGGCACTGACTCGGGCGGCGAATAGAGTTGTATGAGCGAGGCCCAGAAATACCAAGGTGCTCTCTACAAGGAAAAGAACAACAACAAGAAGAGCAAGACGAACAACAACCAGGCGTTTGCCCCTCAGCACGACATGGCTCAACACGCATACGTTGAGGACGTTCCCGATGCCGAGTTCGAAACTTTCCCCTATGAGGCCAGCGACAATGCCAACTCCCCCGCGGACCTTCTCCCCGAAGCGCCAACACCTCCCTCGGCTGCCGAGGGTCACGTCAACGTCTTCGACTTTCTCGACCCCTCAGCGACGCCGAATGCGTCTGCCCTAGGTGCCAAGGAGCCGAATGAGGAGACACAGCTGGTGCGCTACGAGTACGAGGCCGAGGCCTATCTGGACGACGAGGGAGCAATGGTCGATGAGGACCCGCGCGCCCTCGTACAGTACGGCACTGGCGCCATTCCTCAAGGCTTCGAGACTCCGGCTTCCAAGCACGAACGGAGAAGGAAGGATGGAAGCGAAAAGAAGGATAAGAAGCGCAAGCGTCTCCATGTCGACACTGACCAAATGATGGTCGACGCACCTCCCACAACCTTGGCTCACTCTGGTCTAACCGGCGGTCTGAACCGCATGATGTCGCGCCCTGTTTTCCCTCCTTCGCCAGACTACTCCGGAGGCGACGTTGCCGATCCGTCACCGGCCAGCCCGCTCAAGAAGACCAAGTCTTCCAAGCACAAGAAGGAGGGCGGCATTGGCAGCAACCTCATGGGTCTCTTGAACATGAACGGCACCAAGTCCAAGACCAAGAAGCGCAAGGTCTCCTCATCCACCAAGAAGCACTCCTCATCCAGCCGCCACCGATCAGACGGCGAGAAAGCTCCCAAGTTGATCGAGTACCGCCCCGGTTCCCGCGACAGTAAGAAGGGCGAGGACGGAGACGACGAGGGCCAGATGGTGGTCTACCGCCCGCGCGCCGACCTGTTCCTGTCTTTTATCAACAAGGGCCCCGAGAGCGAGCGCGGCTGCAGCATGAACAAAGCCCTCAAGCGCTTTCACCGCGAGCGCAGTTCCTCCGGGGACGGCCTCGGCAAGCTTTCGGAAGAGAAGGAGCTTTGGCGCTCGCTGCGCATGAGGCGTAACGACCGCGGCGAGATTGTACTTTTTCAGGCCTGAATCTGATGGTCGATGTGTACACAATCATGCTGTTCTTCTCGAGGGGTTAGCCGCTCTACGGCTCGGACGGGATATCCAAGGGGTAAACTCATAAAGGACAACGGAGTTATCGAGCGTCATTTTTGTTACTTTTTTTCGTTTTTTTTCATCTTCTTGTTTCATATTCCCATGCTAGGCAACTCTGGCACATGATACCTACAAGATGGATCGGAAACCATCAATGGCCCTGGATGGGAAACGGGGCCAAGGGAGAAAGGCAAGGGGGTTTTGGCCGTGAAATATCGGATATTACTCTACTTTTTTTTGGGTCGATGCGTCGGTCTCCTTTATCTGATTCCCGCTTCTTCTGAAATGCCGATATCGTCGCACTCTTCGTTTAACCCACACCCACGTGCTCTTAGCTGGTCTTCGAGCCTTTCACCGAGCCATTTGGGCGTGTACAAAACGATTGAGGCTTTGAATAGGCAAATTCGAAAGTTATTTTCTTCTTCTTTTCGTCTAGTTTTCTCTCTGGCTGTGTTGAAGGAGATTTAATGATGATGGGGGAGAAGAAGAGAGGAAAAGAGGGGAGAGTCGAAGTTGGCGTGGCATCAGTTCTGTGGTATATATATTTATATCTTTGTTCATCTTCTTGCCTTCGTACACAAACTTGGGAATCGCAAAATGTTGTAACCATTGTGGTTGTTCGTCGGAGATATCCCCCCCTCTCGAGCCGTGTATCCATTATCAATAGAATTTCGTAGGTATACAAATGCCACAACGCCCCTCCTCACTCCATCAAATTGATGTCGGCCGGGAAAGTGCTATGTAACCAAACTTTACAACATGATGATCATATCTACAACTTATCACCCCTGACATCACAATCACATCACAGCCCATCGTCTCGAAGTCAAGCAATCCGCAACGGTAAAATATGCTGCACCATAGCCTCCCGTCTACACAGCGGACACTCTGGCTTCTCACGCACCCAGTCCCCGATACACGTCCAGCAAAACACGTGTCCGCACTGCGTGGCGGACGGGTCCTTGAGCTCCTCGAGACAGAGTGTGCATTTCCGCTGCGCGGCGCCGGAAATGTAGGCCATTGTCTTTTCGTCGCTTAAATCGAAGCGCGCGCCGGGTTCGCCGGAGGCGTCTGCTGAGGGGATCACGGGCGTGTGCGTGACGGCCGAGATGTCGACTTTGCTGCCCCCTGCGCCGTTGCCGCCCGGTGTTCCTGTTTCCGTGAGGAGGAGCCCCGTGTTTGCGGCGTAGGCGTTTGCGTCGAGGGAGACGTCCAGCAAGGAACTGTTGGACCGCGTGCGTGCTGCTGCGGCGGCCGCCGCGGCATCGGAGATTGTGGAGCGGATGTGCAGGTAGGATTGCACGGCGAGCTGGGCGACGAGGAGGACGCCGAGGACCTCGTAGCCCGCGCGGTCGGGGGAGTCGGGGACGCGGCGGGTGAAGACGTAGCGGAGGCCGAGGACGCGTTTGGCGAGCTCGTAGTAGGTGCCCGTGAAGTAGAAGATTGCGAGGGTCGCTGCGTGGATGGGCGCCGCGGAGGTTAGGGAGGGGAGGTTCGTGGCGAGGTAGGCTTTTATTGCGTCTTTTCTGGATGTCTTGTGTTTTGTTGAGGAGGAGGAGGATTTTGGAGGGGTTGACGGCTCGAGGAGGGTTCGGAGGCGGGCGCGGAGGGTGGGGAGGGCGCGGCCTGCGATGTAGGGGAGGAGGACTGATGTCGCGATGTAGGATGCGCGGCGGGCCAGGGTCGGTAGGGCGCCGGAGGGGTCGTCGGTGTCGTTATCGGCGGCGCCGACGTGGAGCTGGACGAGGTCGCAGTATTCCTCGCCGAGGGTGCGGTTTCCGGGGAGGGTGGTGAGGCCGAGGTAGAGGGTGTCTGCGAGGAGCCTGTGGAGGGCGGTGGCCGAGTGGGCGGAGCGGGCGCCGAGGAGGAGGCGGTGGAGGGAGGTAAGGGTGTTTGAGAGGTGGCCTTTGTAGTAGGCGTCTTTCTGGTGGGCGCGGATGATGTCTGGGGCGGAGGCGTAGGGGTAGGGCGAGGAGGGGAGGGTCGATGGCGAGGAGGAGGAGGATGGTTGTGATGGTGATGGGGAGGTCATTTTGGAGAGGTGTTGTGCATTTGCGCTGCGTGCGCGCGGTTGAGATGTGTTGTGAATCCAATTGTTGTGTTGCGTGGGTTTTGAAGGGGAGGTTTCGTTTGCGCTTTTAGTGAGGTGAGGTCAGAGTCGCAAAGGCGTTTGCTCGTTGAGGGTATCGCGGAGTTGGTAAAAGTACCTTGGTGAAGTCGTGAGGTTTAGGTACAGCCGGGCCCGTGGTTGGGATGTTTTTTGAGCCGAGGCGATTTGGGTGCCGGGGCAGGTTTGGAGGAGAGGAGAGCTCGGCCGATTGTCAGCGGCGTCTGTCACTGGTCAGCATGTGTGGCAGCCAACGCAGCGGCGCCGGAGTGTCAGTGCTTGGGTTCCACGGC